CCCGTACCGGGACGCGGGCGACGCCGTCCAAGGCGCAGGGGCAGTGGCGGTCGCCCAGCCAGCGCGTACGGGGGACGGCCCGGGGTCCCCTCCGCGCCCCGCCTCCCGCAGCTCGGCGAAGAGCTCCGACAAGGCCAAGAGCTTCAGCATAGACAGCATCCTGGCGGGCAGGCAGGGCCAGAAGCCGGCTGGAGGGGGCGAGCTTCTGGGGGGCGACAAGCCGGGACCCGGCGGCTGTCTGGGTGCCTCGCTTCTGGCCGCCGCCTCCAGCCTCCGCCCGCCTTTCAACGCTTCGCTGATGCTCGACCCGCACGTGCAGGGCGGCTTTTACCAGCTCGGGATCCCCTTCCTCTCCTATTTCCCTCTGCAGCTCCCCGACACGGTGCTTCACTTCCAGTAAAGCCAACAGGGACGCGCTTCTTCTCGCTGCCCTGGTCTGAGCCTCTGCCGAGCGACCGGCCGGCCGTGGCTGCCACCGGCGGGGAAGGAGTCACGTTCCTTTGGAAATGATCTTTGCTTGGCTCGACGTGGGCTCCTGGGAAGTGCTACCGACTCTGCGCGCAGGTGGGCGCGCTCGCCTCCCTCTTCCCACGCAGACTGTTCCCAGCAACCGGGAGCCGCTTCGGAGATTGTGGGAGATTAAAAGACCCAGGCCTCCTGGAGACGTGGGCACCGCAGACCGCCTACCGCGTGAGCAGGAGAATCCCTTGGCCGTAGGTCAGCCTAGTGGCACGATCCTGCGCGGCCAGGCATGTGAGGGCCCAGACGCCCCAGAATGGGACACACGGACGCAGCACAGACTTTTCTCCCTGCGGCCCCGGTCTGACTGTCCCTCTGTGTGACCCAGGCCTTGGCTTTGAGCCCGTCTGGGTGGTCGATGTCGATGTCCACAGTTGGGTTCGTCCCTCAAGTCCAGTTGTGGGAGTGTTGGGGGGTGACCCTGTTTTTCAGGTTCTCCAGGAGACGGAAGGCCTGGTCGGGATTTATGACCCATGTCCGGGTGGAAACTGAGAAACCACCGAGAGCAGTAACACCTTTATTGTAAATAGAGAAATTTTCTCTTAATTTCTTCCTAGACAGTCAAAGGAACATGCTTTCTTCTTTGCCTAAATACTTGACTCTTTTTGCTATATCGATTGTCCTTGGAAAACGTCTGTATTACTAGCTTCTGTTAAGAAGGCGCAGGGTATATTGTAGCATTTTGTGCGTTATGACAGCTCATTAATCAATACACATGTTCTGCAGTCTATATTACCCTAATAGCAGTCATCCTATCTTTTTGCTTTTGTTTTTAAGGGATCTGAAGATTTCAAGAGAAAGGGGAAGGGGGTGAGGGGGAAGGGAATCGACCTCAGACAACGGCAGATTTTTTATATCCATGGTTTTTCAAGATCCAGGTTTGGTTCTGGCTACATTTTCCAGAACCATGTAGTGAAGGACTACATTTAATCAAAAAAGGTGTGTGAAACGAAACAAGCAGATGGAGAGAGAGATGGCTCGTAGGGAGGAATCAAGGAATCTGCTGGTGCCTGCTGGAGGTGCTTCTCTGGACCCCGAAGAACAGGAGGCTTGTTGGGAGGATTCTTTCACACACTCCCAGCCTCCTGCATCCCTAGCCTGCCACCTGGCTCCTCCCTCCAAACGCCTATGGCGGCCTGGAGGCTGAAGTTAAATAACACCTTAAATAGGTGACTAGCCAGATGGGCGGTGGGGGGGACGAGGTGGGGGGAGAGCAGGGCCTGCAACAAAGATCTGGTTAAGAAAATTGAGATCATCACAGCCCGGTTCAGCTGGGAACTTTACGGAAATTCACTCAACCTCTCATGGTATCTCTGTTTGGGTTATTGGGGGTTTTGAAACTCAGTTTCCTGAACTAAGTAACTTTTATTTAATCTGATATGGGAAAGGTACAGAGAGTCATGAATTCTTGGAAGTAGGCTGGAAGGGGGGTTTTAAAATAACTTTTTAAATAGTTTCTAGAACTTGTATAAAAATGATTACAAACTTTAAATCAAGAGGCCTGCTGGTCAATATGTTGGAAAGGACATTTCAGGTAGGCGTAATAATTTAATAATTAATAGGCACAGAGTTGGCTTTTTGAAAATTCATTCTTATAGCCATGCTAAAGCATGGACTACTGATCCATAATTGTTTCCACCACGGGGTTCCACCTGGTCCAGTGGGAAGACTTTGTTGAACTGCACAGTGTCCTTGATTTGAAGAACTTTGATGAGATACCATTGTTGAGATCCAGGCTCACTGTGATTAACTTAAAATGTGGTGGAAGGGCTGTCATTGGATATTTTGTTATCCCAAACTCTCAGCCTCTGTGAATAAAGTTGTTTTTTCATTAACCTCTCAGTGACTGGTTCAATGGATTACTGGGGGGGGGGGGGAAAAACAAAAAGGGCAAAAGGAAAGGGGGGCCGGGGGTTGTTTTTGGGAATTGTGTCAGCATATCCGGAGGCTCTGGCTTGGGGGGGGGGGGGTGCCCCGGGGGGGGGGGGGATAAACAAACAGTGCAATAGGAAAGAGGAGTCTGGGATTATATTTGAGAATTGTGTCAGCATATCCGGAGGCTCTGGCTTGGGGGGGGGGGGGTGCCCCGGGGGGGGGGGGGATAAACAAACAGTGCAATAGGAAAGAGGAGTCTGGGATTATATTTGAGAATTGTGTCAGCATATCCGGAGGCTCTGGCTTGGGGGGGGGGGGGTGCCCCGGGGGGGGGGGGGATAAACAAACAGTGCAATAGGAAAGAGGAGTCTGGGATTATATTTGAGAATTGTGTCAGCATATCCGGAGGCTCTGGCTTGGGGGGGGGGTGCTGCACAGGGAGGGGTGGAGAAGACCCAGGCGCAGGGGAGCTGACGAGTGTCAGAAAGTAGGATGAACAGTTCTGCTGTGTTGAATGTTTTCAAGTTTTTTTTTTTCCTTTTTGTGTTTGATATGCTGTCTTCTGTGTTTTTGTTATTTTGTGATGGTTATTTTTTGAAGAAGCAAATAATTTAATGCTGCTATTTTGAAAGGATCCTATTTTAGAGTTACAATTCAAAAAAGTATTGTATAAACGTTGTGTTGATGGCACAGAAAAAATGCAGGAGCGTGTATCTACTTTATATGTTTATACATACATAAAGAGAAATTCTATCTAATCCCCACTTTCATCTGGTTTAGATAAGCTAAGAGAAATGGACAGTGGGATTATTTTCTATGCAATCTATACAATTCCATGTGTATTCCTTCCTATGGAGGAAAAAGAATGGCTTTGGGTCTTAGTAATACAAATAGTTATTCTCATGTTCCAGATTTAATCATTAGCTCAAAATTATGGATCAATGAGACCAATAAATGGTTTCCACTCTTAATTAAAACAAAATCTCAGCTACATTAGGGTAAACCAGAAGTAAGCCTATCATTCCACTCTTATGCAATCTGAAGGTTTTCTCATCTAAACAAAGGGAACAGAGTTTATTTTTTGTAAATGATCTTTAGTTCAGGCCTTTACTATAGTCACACACACACACACACACACACACACACACACACACACACACACACACACACACACACACACACACACACACACACACACACACACACACACACACACACACACACACACACACACACACACACACACACACACACACACACACACGCACGCACCCCAATAAGAACACTGATCATGATAGGGAATATGGCAGGCACATGTATAATGATAAATAGCATCATCATATATATACATATATGTATCTGTATCTATGTATCTATGTATTTGTGTATATATGTATGTAGGTATATGTGTGTGTATTTTTTTTGTGCACATGAATTCATCATTTTTGCATATAGGTGGGACTCAGAAATTCATCATTTTTGCATATAGGTGAGACTCAGATCAAATGCTGAGTCTTTCCATATTAACCTGAGTATTAATACCATTTAATTTAAAATATTTTGTTTTTCTATATAGTTTTGTTTTTCTGTATAGTTCAAACCAGGGATAATTTAGTTTTTGCATTATTATAGTTAAATTCACAAAGACTTTATAGAAGAATCTTAGAAGACATACCAAGTTTGAGAACTCTCCTTCTGTAATTTTTATAAGGACAGAGAACTTTGCAAAGGCCTTTTGCTTTGGCCTGCAATATTTGCTGACTTTTATAGAAGCTAATGGCCTCCTGGGTCTCCAATGCACATAAGATTTTTGAGAATTCGAACAGGACCAATTTAGCCATTGTCAGATATATTGTGTGGTCTCCACTGTTTCACGCAGAGTGGTCAGTGTATGTATATATGTGTGTTAAAGAGTCAGCCATGTACAATTATTGTTACAGTTGAAAGCCAGGCCCAGCTGCCCAGACATTGGTAGGCTAATGTGAACATTACCAAAGTGGGTGATGTCTCCAGTAGCCAGCTGTACCATGATTGAGAAAACTGAGTGACAGCCATGACTGTGTGTACTTCCTATCTTCATGGTGGCTGGAGTCTTGCTGCCCTGAAGTGAAGTTTGTTTCCTACAGTCAAAAATACAAGTAATAATAAGCAAAGTTTATTATTAAAAATAAAGAGCATGCATGTTTTTGAAAAGAAAAATTCTTTTGATCCATATTTAAGGTTGTTTTAAAAATATGCCTGAATAGCCAAATGGCAAGTTCCCTACTCTGCTGGTCCTTATCTAAAGGCCCCAAATGCTGGGTTCTCCAGGGCCCAGGCAGACACCACAGGTATTTACAGTGGCCTGGAGTGGGTTACTGGAGTATGTGTGTGGTGGGGGGGTGGGTTCTGGACTGAACTGGGGAGGGGGTGTCTGTCCCTTTAAGTGGCACAGGGCAAACCAAACGTGTAGCTCATAACCCAGATGTGGATTCAAGCTCAGGATCCACACCATGGGGTGTAAATGGGATCTGGGGGCACACAGTCAACTCAGATGTCTTTATTTACACTGGCAGCAGGGAAAGAGAGAGAGAGAAGGCAGTGGGGCAGAGATTAGGTCTCAATCTCTGTTTTCCTTCAGGTATGAGAATCAAGGTCCTGGCAGGAAATAGAAATCCCCTTAGATGGGTCAATGGAAAAGACCAGGGTGGAGGGATTATATATGGGAGACTGGGCCAGGGGAAGGAAAGCACCAGGGACCAGCCAGAGTGAGAACTGCTCCTTCCCAGCCTCATGTTGATGCCTCTGATTGGTGGAAACCTGCCAGCAGCCCAGCCTACAGGGGAGCCCAGGTAATGCAGGGGCAGGGAGGGTCTGAGAATGGACCAGGGTGGGGGTGGTGAGCAGAGCATGAACAGCAAGGGGGTCCTTCTGCCAGGGCCAGTTGGTGGCAGCTGCCCTGACCACACCATGTATGGACAATAGCCAAGACTGGGATGTCTCAGGCAATGCCACTGCCGGCATCTG